AACACTAACTACATTTATAAAAAGTTTAACAGTGGGAAATCACTTGATGTGTTGAAGGCCTTTTGGATAAGCGTCCAGCGTACGGCTTATCCCCTGACCTGATTGAGTGGGTAAAGGTCTCTCTGTCGTTAATGGCTGCTCATCCGATCTTGTGGCGACTAGCGCCTGTGTTCCTCAGGGGTCCGTCCTCTCCACAACTCTCTTTCTGCTGCATATTAATGATCTGCTTATGCCCGGTATCTTTTTCTACGTGGTAGAGCCAAGCTGCAGCTATATTTATAAAATAGTTGTAGCACGAATGGGTCGGTTCGACCAGGGAAGGACCACGCTCTGACAGAATACCAACGTCAAATAGCAGCTTAATGCTGCTGTGTTTTGTATGGTGAGTGTAGAGAACCGGAGACCCTTTTTACTGGTAAAGAGGCATTCCCTCTTAATCCTCAAGGCTGACAACGCATCTGCATTTTGATTCGTAAACGAGGATAGATGTAAATGTCTATGGGCCACAGGAACCACTTATCATCAGATGGACTGTGTACTCGTTTGTCACCCTATTTCAATAAAAAAAAATCAATGGGTATGTGGTATGGCCAGTCGAAACCAAATCCAGTCCGAAAGAGAAGCTATGGTAGAGCGTCTGAATCTAACACTACAAGCCGTCTCCGAATGGGGCGATGCCAATCTTATGAAATTCAACGTTTCCAAAATACAAGCGTGTCTGCCTCTTCACTGCAAAAAGAAGCCAGCTCACCTTGGCTCCTTCTTTCCTAAATATATCACTGGAATACACCGACCGCCTTTCGTTATTGGGGGTTGAGATATCGTCAAAGGAGAATGGGATACTTGGGCTTGAAGTTAACTAATTGGTTTATACTTTAAAAAATTGGCCATATTTTTCTAAAGTAAAATACTAAAAAGTAGCTCTTTTTACAATCTAGATTTCGAAAAAGCAATAAAATAAGAAATAAGTTAGATAATCAATTGTAGTGTATTATTTATGGCAATGAATCGATTACCATAAAGAATACACTAGTGAAAGTGAACTTACTTACTTAAAAGAAAAGACTGATTTTCGATTCGATTTGAAACGAGCGCTATATAATCGATTCTCGATTAAATTGAGCATTTTAATATCTATTTTTGTTTATTTTTCTAAGTTAACTAAGGACATAAAAATGATTGCGTACACATCTACAAAATAATAGTAAAAAATACAAAATATCAACATTTCAACAAGTAACATATACAACAACAATTCAAGTAATCGATCTCAGATCGATGTCCCTAATATTCACTTTACTTAATTGTTGTTGTTTTAACTTTCGATAATCGTTTCACCATTTCGTTTCATTACTAATCCCAGCTTTTTTGGTGATTTTATAGTGATCCTGTTTTTACCTTTAGGTAATTATAGTGAAAAATAGCCTGTTACAGTGTAATAACAGTGAAAAATCACATGTTACAGTGTAGGTAATAGATAACTCACTTTTACTTATTTTACAAATTACTCAGCTCCTAGATTGACAAATCTTGCCAGATTTTAAGCTATGAATTGTTTATAGGTATATACGCTTTCAAATGGTTCTACTTTCATCTTGTTAACAGTTGGGCCCAAGAATGTATGGAGACGTCTCCTTCTCCTTTGAACTGCGTGGGGTTTATTGACCCCAAGGCCAAAGCAGCTGCAAGAAAGCTAGGATTCCTTGCAAATATGCGGCGATACTTCACGCAGGGACAGTTGCTTACTTTATATAAAGCTCAAGTCCGGTCATGCATGGAGTATTGCTGCCATATATGGGCTGGTGCTGCAAAATGCCACCTAGCAGCTTTGGAATTAATTTAAAGGCGTTCTTAGAGGCTTATTGGTGACCCGAATTCGGTAAAAACCAATTTTACCAGCCTCGAACACTGCCTGTGTTAGTAAAGTAGCCAGCCTTTCAGTTTTCTACATGATGCATTTCGGAGAGTGTGAACAAGAATTGTATAATTTAATTCCTCCCTCCCCCTTCCACCATCGGACAAACAGACATCCGGCCAGTCTCCAGCCTTTCATTGTTGACTTAACACGTATTCTAACCAAATGGTTTGCTACATCTTTCATCAATAGTACGGCAAAGGAGTGAAATAAGTTGCCAGCATCTGTCCTTCCATCCGATTAAAATAGAATAGAATAGAATAGAATAAATTTTATTCAATATAGGTTATTACAAATTACTCATTGAAAGTAATTTTTAATTTTATTTATAGAAACAGGCGTTACTTTGCGGAAATCCATTATATAAAAGCTTTTAAAAATTTACTTCACAAACGACCGCGCTATAAAATAATATGAAGTGTCTCACCTAGTATGAAGGGCATCTCCCGCCCTCCTTCAATTGCGTACACTATCCCCGTCACCACTAATCCCAGCACTGCTACTCCGAACACTACTACACTAAGCAAGACACACCACTGACGACAATAAGATACGTGTTTCGCCTCTACACGAGGCGTCCTCAGGTGATCTAGACTCTACGGTGGCTGACCGTTAAGTGAGCGGTGAGCCAAAACAACTGCTTTTTATACAGACCGCTGACGCAACCGCTCTCTGCTTATGGAGCGAGCGACCGCGTCATGCGATAAAACATGCGACCAATCACCGCCGAACTTACGCAACCGTTTGTAAAATTAAAAACAAACCACCGCGCAACGCTCGCCTACCCTCCAACCACGCAACCAATCGCCGATCACCGTGAAGGTGACATACGATCATATTGCGAGGCTGTCTGCTATTAAAGAGCAGGCTTAAAGATATTTAGGAGAGGTGAGTTAGAAACATTTGTTTGTTTATTCAGCAGTGTAACGTTACTGTTGTTACTTTTTAATATGTCTAACTGTTCCAGCACACACAGTCGCAGCCCTTTATTACACGTATGTAAGACTTTAAAGGAGTGATCGTTGGCTAGGTTGTATCCAGTGTCCAAAAGATGTTTAGCGAAATGGGATTTATCGGGATTGCAATTCCTGTATGCGGCTAAATGCTCTTTTTCGGTTAAATCCCATTTTGTTAAACATCTTTTGGATACTGGACACAACTTAGCCAATGACCACTCCTTTCAAGTCTTACATACGTGTAATAAAGGGCTGCGACTGTGTGTGCTGGAACAGTTAGAGATATTAAAAAATTAAAAAGGTATCATCAGCATATAATACTATATCGTGGTTGTCCCCTACAAGATAAGGTAAGTCATTAATATAGACTAAGAACAGGAATGAGCCAAGAATCGGGCCCTGAGGAACGCCCATTGATACTACTGATCCGGAGGAACCTATACCATTGATAACGAATTTTTGAGTTCTGTTATTTAAATGTGAAATAATTATTCTAAGCACAATATTTTTGAGACCGTTATGTTGTAGTTTCCTGATTAATATCTCATAATGAACACAATCGAAATCATTGGAAAAATCACAAAAATTCTCTCTCCCAGGTACTAAAAATATATTTCATAAGCTCGACACCTGCGTCAGTCGTCGAGTGACCCCTTGTGAAACCAAATTGATTTTTATGGAGTAATTTATATTTATTAAAAAAATACCAATTGATCTAAAATGATCTTTTCAAAAATTTTACTGAGTGTTGGTAGTACAGAAATAGGTCTAAAATTAGCGGGGTCCAATGTACTACCAGATTTAAATAAAGGTATTACTTTACTATGTTTCATAAAAATCAGGAAACACACCATATTCGATACTAGTATTAAAAATAATAGCAAGATGAGGTGCAATTAAATCTATTATGGACGCAATAATTGTAACAGAAATCCCCCATAAATCTGCGGTTTTATTTACATCAAGAGTTTTGAAATATTTTACAATATCTTGTGGTAATACTTTTTCATTATATTACTACTATATTATATTATTGATTACAGACTGGGTGTGATTCAAGGCAAGAGGTTTTTGTTAAGTCAGTGCTCTTCACCATCTTAGGCTTCAACCATAAGGTGGGATTGTAGTTGAAAGCTGGCTTCTAATTATAAAAAAAAGTTCTTACCTCCATTTGATGTGCTAAAACACATCATGATGCAAATACATGGTTTGAGAATATGCGTGACTCCATTGTGATGAATTGAAAAAAAAAATCTAAAAACTTTTTGTAATACACTTTTTAACTCTTCTACCATTTCGCAACTAGGTGCCTCATTTTTTGTTATAGAACTAAATTAGATAAACGAACTTACAGCCCACAAGAGGGTACTACTGCAGCTTATGGACCTTACTATTACCGTTGCCGTTACAACCTATGAAAGTCCAGTGCTGAACATAAACCTCCCCCATAGATTGCCTCATAGAGAGGATATTTGCCACGATTAACCTTGTTTGAGATGGTTAATATTGACATCCAGATCATCATCATCATTACAGCCCTGAACTACTCCATTGCTGAACATAGGCCTCCCACAATGAATGCCATAAGGACGGTCCCGATAGCACGTCATATATAACTACTAGCTGACCAGGCAGACGTTGTTCTGCCCTTTCCGACGACCATTTGCTTTCCTAAAAAAAAACTCCTGAAATTTGGCAATAAAAAAACTGAGGGACACTTATTGGGATAAAAACTATCCTATCTCTCAAGTTGCACACAGTGTGCAAAATTTCATTAAAATCAGTTCAGTAGTTTAGGAGTTCATAGCGGACAAACAATGTGACACGTAATTTTTATATATAAAGATATAGGAGAACTTTCCTTCCTCCATTTGCTTAGTCCCAGCTCCAGTATTATATTATATTTTATATTCTTTCAAGGGGCTCTTAGTTTTTAATTTCTTATTTAAATTATCATGTTTGTTATTTTTTTAAATATTTAAAAGAATATAAAGAAAGAAGTTATCGTACATTAAGAACTTTTTTTTATAAAACTACTGAAAAATGTAACGTCAAACGGTAAAAGAACATCAAAAATAAACTGTCATATTTAGTACATACTCAAATTTTTATTGAATTTTTAATTTAAAATGGACAAAGAAGAAAACACAAATCTGGACGTAGAATATAAACGGTATTTACAAATTTTAAAGCCATACTTAGAACAATTACTTGATCAAGAAGACATTCAACTGTGTAATGCTTGGATTCAGAGGTTGTCTGACTGCAAGGCAGAAGAAAAAAGCCTTCGTAATAAATACCTTTTTATACTTTGCTTTCAATTAGCTAAAGGTGTTCTCAGTGAACCCTTCAATGATCACCCTCCATCTAACGAACTGCCTATGTTGCTTGAAGAAGAGAGCAGTGACGATTCCTTTTTAGAATTGGATTGTCCTGTTACGAATTCTGTAAATAATAATGCTGAAATATTTTCTAATAATTCAAAATCATTAGCTGATACTGCGTTCCAGTCGAATAACAGTGAAATTACTGTATGTACAAGTAAAGTAATAACAAATTTAACAAAACCTAATAAAGAAATGCAAGACATAAAGACTCTAACAGAAAACTTGTTATTCTCTTCAAATTCAACACTGGCGAATTATATGTGTTTACCAGAAATTTTGAAAGATTTATCAAATTTTACTGATTCTGAGGATGATGTTTATTTAAGAGTAAACAAACTTGTGGAGAAATTGAGGGAGATAAAAAACCAAAATTCAATGTTACGTAATGAATTACAAATTCTCAAAGATGGATATAAAATTGAAAAAGATATTTCTTCAGAGTTACAAAAAGATGTATTAAAAATTCATTGTGCAACGAATACTACTACCAGTGTTTGCAATAGTGACTCTCAGACTAACTATTTAAATTGTAACTGCAAGACAATGGTAGTGGAACTTCAAAAGAAACTTGACAACTTTAACGAATTGAAGAAATTAGAAATTGAGAAGCTGAAACATGAACATGAAAATAATATATTAAAAGCAGAAAGTTCCATTCAAGAAGAAATGCGAAATAATTACGAAAGGAAATTACAAAACCTAAAAGAAAAATATGAATTGAAAATAATAGAAACAAACAATAAGCATGCGGCTGAGATAAGGCAACTGAAAACTATTCACGATGAAATCCTTCTAGAAAAAGAAAACGCAATAGCTTTAAAAAATAAAGAAATGATGAATTTACGTGCTGATCTTGAAGAAATAAAAGCTCATAACTCTATTTTAAGAAATAACTTCGTCAAAAACAGTACAGATTTTAATTCAGAGTCATTAAAAGAAAAGGTTCAAGAATTAGAAAGACGACTGTACAAAACAGAGAAGTCTAGAAATAAGCATGCTAAAGTATATCAAATTCAAATAGCTAGTTTACAACGTGAGAAAAATCTACTTGAAAGTACTTTGCATCTGCAATTGCTGAAACAAAGAACTGAGTTAATAACTGAATTAACTGAAGAAAATCAAAAAGAGTTGACAACAACCATAGAAAAGTTGGAGGAAAAGTATAAAGAAATAGTTGCTAATGTGCAAACAGCGGCGATACAAAGACTAATACAAGATCAAAAAGCTCTTGAAACAATTATTCAAACAGTTTACCGTAATCGATTAAGTAGTAGTCATGCTACTTATACAGCAGACGAAAAGTTAAACTTAAAACCTACCAAAATACAAAACGACAAAAGAGACGAATTTCGTGTATTTAAATGTTGCAATAGAGCAACTTCTGAAGATAAGAATATACCTAATCTAGAGGATAGTTTACTGACGGGATTTTGTTTGGATGAAGCGAAATTAGAAGAATTGTTTGAAAGAGTCCATATCCCTCAGAGAGATACGGGAGAAGATCCGTCGGTATCTTAACTTTTACTTAACATTACGCAGTATATACTACGTTGTTACGATATTCTACCATTTTATTTTTTAAATTTTTCTTTAAATAAATTACTATTATTTTTTTAATATTATTTCTCTAGTTTTAATATTTTTGTTTCTAAGAAAATTAAATATTTTTTTTAAAAGACAATTCTGTTTATTTTGTACATATAAGTGCGTTAATTTATTATGTAATAAAATATCAAAAGTTTTTTTTTTAATTAATCATAATAACTTTAAATATATTACAATCGTTGATGCGTCTGTTAGCGATAGTGTAACTTCCAAATAACTTGACCCATTGCAGTCATATTATTTTCATGTACGTAGCTATGTTAGGACCTGACAGATAGCCTTATCAAATGACTTACATATACTTACAAAATATAATTGCACAGTGCTAAAAAACAAATCACGTAATTTGGAGATGATAGATGGTGCTGTGGCCGAGTTATAACTAAATCTTATATTTACACTATAACAGTCCGAAATGTCGGCATCCCGTGTTGCTTTACGATTTCAAATGATTTCTGAGTGAAACTCATTACACCACCTACCTGGAAGGGCAGAACAACGCCTGCCAGATGAGCTATTAATTCAATAAAATGAGTCGGTGTTTTAATAGCTCATTAAAAAAATTGCAAATATCGGCTACTTTTGTTATAGCCTCTACCATTTCATGCTAATTTACGGTGCATTATACTTTATTGTATACATAAACGACTGCGACATACTTTAGATAATAATATTTTCTTTCTTAATCATCCTAACTGTGGATATGGGTGAATATATTTACTTGAAACGCCAATCTCAACTGCAAGCTTTTCACGCTGCTCATTGACTACCAGGCTATAGGACCCATTGACGGCTCCGTGGTGTAGTGGCTTAGCAATGAGTTGCAACGCTTGGGGCCGCGGGTTCGAATCCCGCACGGAACAAGTATTTGTATGGCCTACGAATAATTGTTCCGGGTCTGGATGTTTGTCCTTGTACAATATATGTTTGTAAACTGCCTCCACGATACAGGAGAAAATCCTAGTGTGGGGGTAACGTTTTTTTAAAACATAAATAAATAAATAAAATAAAAAAATCTAAGACCGAACCTATATATTAAAGACTGTTCCCATACCAGCCACAGTCTTAAAAACGTTTGTATCCGAAAGAGACTTAACGAGGCTTTTGAAAAGGGAAAATAATAATTATTCTGTTGCTTTTCTTCGTATTGACTATGGAAAATAACAGGACTCTCGAGTTTTATAGATTGTAAATCTAATTTATATACGTGGCAACTATACATTTTACTAATGGGGAGAGCCTATGTTCAGCAGCGGACTTTAATAAGCTGTAATTGTGATAATGAAGTAAAAATCTGAAAGAGAAATCAAGAAACGTTAACGTGTATTGTATATGATAGAACCATCTACTTAAGAAAAGATCCGCACACAGAACCAAACTATAAATAATGCTTTGAGAAGTACTATCACGTCTGAAAAAGGACATCAAGTTTATGGTATTAAATGTGTTTATTAATTTTCAAACCTTTTAATGCAATGATTTCTATAAGTCAATGTTTCAATGTCACAATTCAAAACATTATTATTTTCTACTCTTCTTCTTCATCGTTAACTCGTAAAAGTTCACTGTTGGACATGTTTCCTCCCCGTTGTAAGTTTATCACGTTTTAGTCTGCTTCACACCCCGTCTAGTAATTTTTTTTTTGGTTTTTATTTGGCTATAAAATTGTCGCATCTTGACTATATGTTTTCGTGATCTTACATCGTCACCACATGATGAAATATCTACACATTTTGGAAAATTCCTGGAACTAATTTCGAAACACAAAAGTCAATGCTCGACCAATTTAACGTCACTTGTTCGCGTAAAAGGTTTCGTCGCCTAACTTGAAAATGTCAATTTTATCAAAGCCATTCACTAAAATTAAAGGAGTGGAAGACCTTCTGGGACAATCTTTATAATGGAGAAGTTATTTACAACGTTTCAAATACTTCATTATTTTGTTGGAAACACCTTTGAGAAGATTTGTCAAACCACAAATAATTTTAACTTTAACTTAACCGTAGTTTAATAATGTATTTATTTTATAAATACAATTTGCTTTATTCTGAAAATTCTTAGTATCATTCATCTTTATTCATAACGGTTTGGTATCTTTGGGTTAAGTAATTCGCCATTGTGTTTCTTCGGGTCGTGGATTAGATATCCGCAAGGATAGAGTATTTTTAACTAACCATAGTATAGCCACGCGGCAGTATTTGCTGTCACCGGGATAGGCCGGCTCGAACCGGGGAGGTACCACGATCTCACCGATTCAGCGTGACGTAGAAGTTTACTTCTGCGTCACGTACAGTTAAACATATTACACCCCTCATTTTCGTTGGGGGTTAAAATTAAACTTTTATCACACGCCACCTCATTTCTGAGAGGGTTTAATGCACGTTTGTGGATTTCATCGCCAAAGTAAGAATGGAATGACCAAAACAAATGCAAATTACTGGGTTGTAGGATTCTTTTTCTGTCTATATTTTTTTATAGGGTCTTAGCCTATAAAATCCACATCTATCATCAATAAAGAATCAAAATGCAGGTGCGTTGTCACCCGTAAGGACTAAGATGGAATGCCTCGTTTCCAGTAAAAAGGGTCTCCGGTTCTCTCTTTTTTTATAGGATAAGGGTGACAAACGAGCTCACAGTCCACCTGATGGTAAGTGGTTGCTGCGGCCCATAGACATCTACATTTATCCTCTATTACAAATCAAAATGCAGATTCATTGTCAGCCGTGAGTACTAAGATGGAATGCCTCATTTCCAGTAAAAAGGGTCTCCGGTTCTCTACACTTACCATACGAAATATAGCAGCATTTAGCTGCTATTTTACGTTGGTTTTCTGAGAGAGCGTTGTCCTTCCCCTGTGGAGCCGACCCATTCGTGCTACAACTACACCAGTAATATAGCAGCAGCATGGCGCTACCATATAAAACTTTTCCTTTTTTTTAAGAATTCCGTCTAGGTACCACAATCTTACCTGTTATTGCCGCCATATTGCACTGCTGTATTCCGGTAGAACGAGTATCAAGCTTCATTATAATTACAGGCTGTGAGGCATTCCATCTTAATACTCAGAGGTAACCACGTATATATGGCCTTGATTTTTTAAACATTTTCGGTCAAGTCTTTGGGGTGCAGTAGCCTTCACATTTTATAAAGCATGTCTCAGGCCTTATTTAGGACATTTATTAAGTCTGTTTTCAATATTTCATAGTTCTGCACATCCTTTAAATCGAGCGTCAGATTATATTATGAACTAGTGACCCGCCCCGGCTTCGCTTGGGTAGGAGCTATTAGTATCTACTTAATAATTATGAATAAGATATACATTTAGGTCAATAAATAAAGATTTTTCTAATAACTTAACAACAGACACCTATCAGATGACAAGCATAGCTAAGAAACGTCATCTCATGATGACAAATTCAATAATTTTACTGGATCAAGTCATCACCAGTTGGAAGTTACACTAACTCTAACAAATGCACAAACGATTATATGTATTCTTATAGATGATTATGCATATTTTTTTATAATGAATAAAATTTGTTAGAGCTACGCTGCAGCTATATTATGGTTGTAGCACGGCTGTCTCGACCAGGGAAGGACCACGCTCTCACATAAGACCAGCGTAAAACAGTACCTCAATGATAACGGTGAGCGTAGAGAACTGGAATCCACTTTTAGTGGAAAGCATTCTATCGTAGTCCTTAAGGGTCTAGACGCATCTGCATTTTGATTCTTAATGGAGGATAGATATACATTTCTATGAGCCACAGCATCCACTTACCATCAGCTAAACTGTCTGAACTTAGAAATAATTTTTGTCGTAGGCTAATGTTCGACATAATTTTATTAGAAATAAACTTTTTTATAATATAGATGGTCGATGCTTGAGGGTGGCCTAAAGACCACCTTAGCCGCACTTTAACTTACCGGCAAATGACTACACCTAGTTTTAGTATTAATAAATCGAATACACCTAAGTTCAACCAAGTTATTTAGCAATAACTAAAAGTACACACTACAAGGAATAATTCGATTCATATTACTTCTTTTACTGACTGCGGTTAAATTTAATTTTGAGACAGAGAGAAAATAGGCAACATAAGCCTACGCCAAAAATTTAACCAAAGGTTAGCCGTTATATAAGAGTATTCAGTAATTTTAAATTAAGAATAAATTATGTATATTAAAAATTACTTTTACTTAGAGGTCAATAAAGTAAGGGAGAAAACAGAGAGCTATTGACGACGGTCGTTTGAAAACTAATTGGAATGTAAATTGCTATATTAAATGGGATTAAATAAAGGACGATCTGAGAGATTGTTTCAAGGGTCTCAATTAGGGCCATTGAAAACAAACAAATTACTTTATTATGCAAAATAATCGTATAATAAGACTACAGGAATTAGTGATAATTTATCGCTTACGCATTAGTTAGTATAATGTTGCAGGTCAAACATAAACACAACTGTCTTCCGGTCTGAAGGATGTAGAGAGTCACTATAAGTAAAACACAGATTGTGATGGACCATCACATTCAATGGTGGTAGTGGTGAGATTTTAACGCTTGACAAAGGTAGCGAATTTTTTAACCTACTTTATGACGTCATCATTAGTAAAAGTTTGAAAGCTATTAAAATTAAATACTGCTTAGAAAAATAGAAATTTGGTGTATATAATAACCTTATTGCCATGTAGTGGCGGTTAGGAACATCCATTAACTCATATCTTCCTCGTAAGAGGCAACAGTGGGAAATAGGCAGGAAATGGGCAGCAGCATCTTCCTGAGAACAGCAATAGTTCAATAAAAAAACTGCGGTTGCTAATCCACTGGCAAACATGCCACCACGATGAAAGTTACGAAGAGACGGCCCCCCAGTCCCCGGCGTCCCTACTATTCCCGGCTACAGTGGCTA